TGAGAGAGAAACATCAATCAGCTGCCTCCTGCACACCCTCCACCGAGGATGTGCCTCCAACCAAGGTACATGCCCTTGACTGGAATCGAACCTGGGACCCTTCAGTCCTCAGGCTGACACTCTATCCACTGAGCCAAATGGGTCAGAGCTAAAACTGTTTTGCATTATCTTTGACTTTAACCCCTAACCTTTCCCTTTTCTCCAATCAGTGAATTATCAAGTGTTGTTGATTCTTTGATAATGTACTTGACATTAGTCTCTTCCTTTCCACTCTCACAGGTTCAGCCAATTCTGTCTCTTATGCCAGGATAATCTCGATCTTTTTCCCCCCTAGCTTATTTACCCAGTCTCCAATGTTTACCTTTCCAATTCTCATTCTCATCATGCCAGATTAATTGCCCTGAAGCACTGCTTTGAGGAAAAGATTCATTTTTTTTTTTTTACAGAACCTTATTTAATGCATGCCATGCACCAGGCATTAAATTGCTTAACTGGCATTTCCAGATATGAATACCTCCCCTCATGTACTTTTGCACCAGCCCTCTGATCCAGCCAGACAGGTCTATTCACCATCTGAACATTCCATCTACATTACCATGTCTGAAATTTTGTTTTAGCATAAGCTTCTGTTTAGAATCCATCCTGCTTCCTTTTTCTCAGTTTTTGATTATTTCTTCAAAGCCCTACTCAAGTTTCAGCCTTCCCTCCTTGTAGCCTCTCAGTTTTTACTCTTGTCTCTGCACTTGATCTTAGCCAAAGGCCAAGAAGCCGTTTTTCTAGTTTCTAAACTGTCACAGCTAACCAAACAGTATCTTCAATATCTCTGAATTCCTTGACCTTGGTTTTTAAAAATATATATTTTATTAATTTTCTACAGAGAGGAAGAGAGACAGATAGAGAGTTAGAAACATCGATGATTCGATGAGAGAGAATTATCAATCAGCTGTCTCTTGCACACCCCCTACTAGGGATGTGCCCGCAGCCAAGGTATGCCCTTGAGTGGAATCGAACCTGGGACCTTTCAGTCCACAGGCCAACACTCTATCCACTGAGCCAAACCGGTTTCAGCCCTTGACCTTGTTTTTAAGTGTTTCTAAGATCTGACCTTTTCCCCCCCTCCCCCTTAATTGATTTCAGAGAGAGGAAAGGAGAGGGAGAGGGAGGGAAACATCAAGGATGGGAGAGAATCAATCATTGATCAGCTGCCTCCTACACGCCCCCTACTGGGGAGATCTGGCCCCACTTTTTATTTCCAACCTGGCTTCCTATTATTCCTAAAATGAACTATCTGATTCCTCTGGATTCCTCTACTTTTTGTTCCTTAAATACTCCATGCCACCCTGGCTGGGTGTTCCGTTGGGTAGAGCATTATCCTGATACATCAAAGTTGCTGGTTCAATCCCTGTTCAGAGCACATACAAGAATGGGTGGATGAGTGGAGCAATAGGTTGATGTTTCTCTCCCTTCCTCTCTCTCTAAAATCAACAAATAAAAAAATTAAAAAATATTCCATGCTAATTCCCACATCCATGTCTTTCTTTGGTCATGTTTGCTCTTTCTCCCACCCCTTTTAGCTGTCAAATCTTACGATTTTCTTTTTGTTTTTAAATATATTTTTCAATATATATAGAAACATCAATAATCAGAGGGAATCATTGGTTGGTTGCTTCCTGTACGCACCACATGGGACAGAGCCTGCAACCCAGGCATGTGTCCTAACCAGAAATCGAACCTTTACCTCCTGGTTCATAGGTCAATACTTAACCACTGAACCACACTGTCTGGGTACAGATTTTCTTTAACACTTTTTTTGTTTTAATTTATTAACGATATTTGCTTTTTGAACAAAAAAACCAACTCCTGTTACAATGTATAATCCATGTGGGAGACCCATATACTTAAAAATGAGTAATACAAAGTATATATATGCAGGTGGGCAAAAGTAAGTTTACAGTTTGTATGAAAAAAAAACATTCAGGTTATCGTTATTACAATAGCTTTATTGTGTTTTGAGTAGTAACCACTGTAAACCTACTTTTGTCAAACCATATATATATATATATATATATATATATATATATATAATTTTTTGTTAATGGTTTCTATCACCTCTACTTACAGGTTATCCTTCTTAAGGTAACTCAAATGTCCAGGACACTTGGAGGTTCCCTAAGACCTTTACAGGAAATCTACCAGCATAACTATTTTCAGAATATACTAAGATGTTATTTGCCTACTTGCTAGATTGACTTTTTCACTGATAAGCAAAAGCAGAGGTGGGTAAAACTGCTAGCCCCTTAGCACTAATCAAGGTAGTGGCACCAACTATACTCATCATTGTATTTTTCACTGCCACGTGCCTGCAGTAAATAATGCCAGTTTTTCACTTAATATCCTTGGTTATTAATTTGATTAAACCCTGGCCCTTAAAATAAACATTTTTATGATTTTTTTTAGTTTTATTGAGATATAATTGACATAAAACATGTAAGTTAAAGGTATACGGTGTGATGATTTGATATTTGCATATATTGTGAAATGTTTACCACAGTAAGGTTAGTTAACACATCTTTCATCTCACAGTTACCATTTTGTTGTGATGGTGAGAACATTGAAGCTCTACTTTGATAGCAAATTGCAAATATACACTACAGTATTGGTGATTGTAGTCACTGTGCTATACCTTAAATCCCTGGAACTTAATACATAACTGAAAGTTACTAGTATATATCTTTTCAATGTCCTCTCTGGAGAAAATGGGAAGTAAACATGAAACATTTTGCTGCATACTATAGTTATCTCAAGGAAAAGTACTGGCGCAACATTTATAAGCTAAATAAGCTTCCTTTCCAAAGAACATCATTTTTACTTGAAAAAAAACCACTGACGAACTGGTAATCCAGACCTGGATATCTGTAGGCACTTTGCTGAAAATGAAGGAAGTGAGCCTGTCATTTTAAGGAGAACAACTGACAGTGTTTGTTTCAGTGATAAGATTCAAGCCTTCAAGTGAACAGTAGAATTTTGAAAAACTTGTATCTGCCACTGTGAGCTTGAAAGCTTTCTAATAAAATTTCTTTCTGGTGATATTAACAAATGTTGTATGGCTAAATGCATAATATTACAAAATAAGAGTGCGAGGGAGGAATCATGAAATAAAAAAATGTTTGAGGATCACTATCCATTTTTCTGCAACTTACTCTTTCACTTAGTATATTTTAAACACCACTCAAGGTCAGTGCATTTATATCTGAAATTCTTTTCCAGCCCTAGCTGTTTTGGCTCAGTGCATAGAGCGTTGGCCTGTGAACTGAAAGGTCCCAGGTTCGATTCTGGTCAAGGGCACATGCCCGGGTTATGGGCTCCATCCCCAGTTGGGGGCTTGCAGGAGGCAGCTGATCAATATTCTCTCATCATGGATGTTTCTGTTACTCTCCCTCTTCCTTCCTCTCTGAAATCAATGAAAAAATATTTTTAAAAAATTCTTTTCCAGTCCTGGCCAGTGGGGCTCAGCTGGACTGTTGTACCTTACACTAAAAGGTCGTGTGTTCAATTCCCATTTAAGGCATATTCCCAGGTTTCGGGTTCAATCCCTTCAACCAAGCTATGTTTTTCTCTCTCCCTTTCTTTTCTTCTTTCTCTAAAATCAACAAAAACATCTATCGGTGAGGATTAAGAAAAAACAACAGCCGAAACTGGTTTGGCTCAGAGGATAGAGCGTCGGCCTGGGACTGAAGGGTCCTGGGTTCGATTCCAGTCAAGGGCATGTACGTTGGTTGTGGCCACATTCCCAGTGGGGGTCGTGTAGGAGGCAGCTGCTGATGTTTCTCTCTCATCTATGTTTCTGACTTTCTATCCCCCTCCCTTCCTCTCTGTAAAAAATCAATAAAATATATTAAAAGACAAAAAAGAAAAAACAACAATAGGCTTCCATAATAGCATGGTGTGCCATCATGGCGATGATCCACATCTATTTAATCATCCATACATTAATGGCATTCACGTTGCCTTCATCTTTTTGTTAAATAATGCAGCAACAAACATTATTTTTTAGTCATCACCCAAGGATATATGTTTCTTTTAATTGATTTTTATAGAAAGGGAAAGAGAGAAACATTGATGTGAGAGAGAAACATGGATGGATTGCCTCCCATACACACTGTGATTGCACCCAGACCAGAATGGAACCTGCAACCTGGGTATGTACCCTGACCAGGAATCGAACCTACAACTTTTTGGTGCATTCTATGACATTTCAACCAACTGAGCCACACCGGCAAGGATGCAACAAACATTCTTTACATATATCCTTGTGCATTGATGCTCATATCTATAGTATGGATTCCTAAAACGACCTGTTTTTTACAATCCTTTTTATTTTTTATTTTTTTAATATATTTTATTGATTTTTTTACAGAGAGGAAGGGAGAGGGATAGAAAGTCAGAAACATCGATGAGAGAGAAATATCAATCAGTTGCCTCTTGCACACCCCCTACCAGGGATGTGCCCGCAATCAAGGTACATGCCCTTGACCAGAATCGAACCTGGGACTCTTGAGTCTGCAGGCCGACGCTATATCCACTGAGCCAAACTGGTTTCGACTACAATCCATTTTAATAAAACTTCCCTTCTTACATCTTCTCTGGTCATTTTTCTTTGTTTTTACTCCTTTTTAGTCTTTTAATCATTTACTGTCTTTTGATGTGTACATGCTATTGTCTTGTTTTTAAAGACTTCCTCTGTGTCTGTCTTGCCTTGCAACTAGATTATGAAACTAGAAATTCCCTGAGGGCAGGGATGGTGTGTTTTACAGTGTGTAGACACTCAATAAGTAATGACGAGAGCAGGATTAAAGGTTGACATGAGAAAGGGATACCTTAATGGTGCCACTTTGTGTCCACATTGATGCTGAGGAAAGCTGTGTGCATTCATGCGTTCTTTCATCTTGGGAATTATTTGAAAGTTAGAGTAACTCTCCAACTTGATTCTCTCATTTCAGGCAAGTACATTGCCTCAACACAGCGACCTGACGGGACCTGGCGCAAGCAGCGGAGGGTGAAAGAAGGCTATGTGCCCCAGGAGGAGGTCCCAGTGTGCGTGGTTAGGCGTGAGGAGGGGGGATAATGGGGTCCCTACAGAAAGAAAGAACATGAGTTAGCGAATGATTTGCTGATGCCCAAGTCTCAAGAATGGGAGGGGACAAATGAGAAAGGAGAAGCAGGGGTTGGTATACAGGGATGGGTGAGGGTGACAAGTGATGAGTCATGTCCCTACGGCCTCTGTTCATCAGAACCTCCAAATAGCATTCAGAGACCCAGGTCTCTGAGACCTGGGGACCCTCCTACAACCTGCAAAGAAAAGGAAAGTTGGGGAGGAGCCAGGGGGGAGAAAGCGAGCAGAGGTGGAAAGGGTAAAGTGATTTGGAAGGTTAAGAAAAGGGCTCTGAAGTCAGTGGTTCTCTAACAGCTGATGTCTTCCGTTCCCTTCAGGTATGAGAACAAGTATGTGAAGTTTTTCAAAAGCAAACCAGAATTGCCCCCAGGGTTGAGCCTCGAGGCCATTGCTCCTGCCAACCCATCAAGGTCTGAAGGTGGGGAACCAGGCCTCTCCAAGACAGCCAAACGCAACCTGAAGCGGAAGGAGAAGAGGCGGCAGCAGCAGGAGAAAGGGGAGGCAGAGGCCTTGAGCCGGACTCTGGAAAAGGTGTCCCTGGGAGAGACAGCTCCGCTCCCCAGTGCTTCCCAGGGCTCCCGGGCAGCCCCGACAGCGGCCTCGGACCAGCCTGACCCAGCTGCTATCACCGAGAGGGCCAAGAAGATAAAGAACCTAAAGAAGAAGCTTCGGCAGGTGGAAGAGTTGCAGCAACGGATCGAGGCTGGGGAAGTCAGCCAGCCCAGCAGAGAGCAGCTGGAGAAGCTCGCAAGGAGGAGGGTGCTGGAGGAGGAGCTGGAGGACTTGGAGCTCGGCCTGTGAGGCCTTGGGGAATCGGGAATGGACTACAGAACAAACCATGGGGCTTTCTGGGGTCCTGGGGAGCATGGGCAGCAGCAGTCAGCCGGGGTACCCCCCATACTGGCTCACTTCCATCTCTCATGGCCCAGCTCTGCCATCCAGAGCCTAGCCTCACCCTCATTCCTTCCTCTTCTTCCAAACTCCTGTTTTTTAGACATTTCCCCTTCCCATTCCCAGTGTTCAAAAATCTCAGTGACTCCCCCAGGTTCCTTTGCTGCTGATTTGGGTGTTTTATTCAAAAGAAAAGTGGGTGGGTGGGGATCTCGGGAACTGAGGTTGAGGGTAGGGGGAGTATGCCCAAGTCTTGGAGTCTTGGTTCCTGTTCTCAGTGTTCATGGGTTATTTCCCCTCCATCCCTGACCTTTTTTTTTTTTTTTTTTTTTTTTTTTAAAGAACAGAATAAACAAGTAGACAAATTGTCTAGCTTTGCCTCTTTCTTTTCAGCTTCTGGTAGGTATTTTATTCCCTTCAGTTTGGCACAGGAAGACAAATTTGGGGGATAATCATTTTTAATTTTTTATTAATCCCCACCCAACGATATCTTTCCATTGATTTTTTTTTTTTTTTTTTTTTTTTTTTTTTTTTTTTTAGAGAGAGTGGGAAGGAGATGGAGAGACAGAAACATCCATATAAGAGAGAGACATTGATTAGTTACCTTCTGCACAGGCCAGGGATTAAGTCTGCAACCAAGGTATAATATGTGCCCCTGACCGGAATCAAACCCAAGATCCTTCAGTCCACTGGCCAGTGCTCTATCCATTGGCCAACGCTCTATCCACTGAGTCAGATCGGCTAGGGCTGCAGTAATAATGTTTCATTTTTATTTTAAGAGAGGTAGGGAGAGAGAAAAAAATCATTGATTGGCTGCCTCCTGAACACACTGGGGATCAAGCCCGCCACTTGGGCATGTGCCCTGACTGGAACTGTTCCCTCCTGGTTCATAGGTCAATGCTCAACCACTGAGCCACGCCAACCTGGCTGGAGTAATACTTTTTAACGGTTATAAATGTATGACCAAATGATCAACACTGATTTCTGTATGTTTGGTTCGATTTCAGTGAACAGAAATTAGTGTTATAATAAAATGAAACTTAGAACTAATTTCATTTGACATGTTCATTTGCATGTGCCATTACTGTGCTGCATAGCAGTGGGGCCTTTGTAACACCATTACTTCTTTCTCGGTTATCAGAGTTCTCTCCAGGGAGTCTTCCGATCATTATTCAGGAAGTTTTTCTGTGTGTTAGTTGTAATTCCTGTTTGATCCTGGGAGCATATCTGTGTATCATTCACTTACTCTGCCACCATTTTTACTCTTACCTTACTGTTTCTAAGATAATCAACCTGCTACACAGCTTTATTGGGGCAGCTCATCTGAAATTTTATCTTATCAGATGCCACCCTCGGACATCATTGTGGGGCAAATTAATGATACAAGTAAAGAAATTTACAGTCAAAAAAGAGCTTCCACTTAATGTTTTCATGAGCTCTGATTTCCACACCTTCACCTATCAATCTTTCTTTCTAGTCAGCTGCTAGTGTAGAAACCAACAGAAGGGGAAGTCAGTAATGACCTGTATCAGGAGTTCAAAGTTCTTAGCCTGACTCTAAAGGTCCCAGTCAGTCTGGCCTTGTTTCTTGCCATTTCTCAACTCTGGTCAAACTGCTCCAACTTTACTGAACTATTTTCACTTCATCAAATGAGCCACATTCTCTCTGAACCTCAGTTATTTACCCTTACTGGTTCCTTTGCCTACATTCTCTTCCTCCTCCACTCTTCCTAGTCAACTCTTTCTTACCCTTTGGATCTTTAATGCTATTCCTCTCTGGGAAGACTTCCATTACCCTCCAATACTGAGTCAGGTGCCTCTCTTAACTTGCCTCCTTATCACGTGCACTTAACCTTTGGTGTGTAGTGGTGTGTATTACATTATATTGCCATTCTTGTTTATTTGTTAGCTCCTCTTCCTCATCAATCAGGGGTACCTCAAGCCCTGGGGTTGTGTTTAACATCACTGCAGCCCAGTGCACAGTAAGTGCTCAGATATTTGACTAAGTGAATGAGGGTACAAGCCACATGGAGAAACAGAAGAGGAGGGATAGTCTGTGCTTTGCCAAAAAGATGAGGACTTGAGTGAGACCAAAAGCCTGAGCTCTCTTGTGTAGGACCTCTACACAATTATAAGGACTTTATAGATAAGGTTTAATTGGCTTAGATGTAGGAGTTTGATGCTTTGTAAGTTCAGACGTTTTTGAGAAATCTATACTTTCTTTTAAAAATCATTATTTGTTTTGCAAAAGGATTCACTTCATAAACCTTTAAATTCCCTGGGTCTTGAGTGGTTTGATTAATGTTTATTTTGTTATATGTTGGGCTCTGTCAGTCATTTTGCTAGTTGGAAGGGATGCAATTATGAATACATTGTAGAATCTTCATTTAAAAAAGTTATTAAATCATGCAAGTCACAAGTTAAGTGCTTGACAGATTTAATTAAGTTCTATGGTAGAGGTATCAGCAATGTGTTGAGGGAGAGCTAAGAAGAAACAATTTATATTGATTTTAGGTGTGGAGAGGCTTAATGGTGGAATTGGATTTTGAAGATCTTGACTTGTATCTCAAGAAAGGCAGGGATGCTGAAACTGGTTTGGCTCAGTGGATAGAGCATCGGCCTGCGGACTGAAAGGTCCCAGGTTCTATTCCTATCAAGGGCATGTACCTTGGTTGCTGGCACATCCCCAGTAGGGGGTGTGCAAGAGGCAGCTGATCAATGTTTCTCTCTCATTGATGTTTCTAACTCTCTATCCCTCTCTCTTCCTCTCTGTAAAAAAATCAATAAAATATATTTTTTTTTTAAAGAAAGAAAGAAAGAAAGCCAGGGATGTCCTAACTGGCTTGGCTCAGTGCATAAAGCATCGACCTGCAGACTAAAGGGTCCCAGGTTCGATTTCATTCAAAGGCACATGCCCAAGTTGTGGGCTCGATTCCCAGTAGGGGATGTGCAGGAGGCAGCTGATCGATGATTCTCTCTCATTGATGTTTCTATATCTCTCTTCCTCTCTGAAATCAATAATATATATTCTTTTTTCTTTCTTTTTTTAAAAGAGCCCTGACCGGTTTGGCTGAGCGGATAGAGCATCAGCTTGCAGACTGAAGGGTCCCAGGTTCAATTCTGGTTAAGGGCATGTACTGATGCTTAATATGTCTCGTGATACTGTTGTTTCAGAAGAAATATTCCTTACCTTGGTTTGCAGGAAAATACATTTGAAAGCCACCAATAACATCAATACTGAGGGGCTAAAGCATCACACACTCTCCTCTGGTCTGTGTGTGTGAGGTGGGTGGGCTGGAAAGACATTAGTTTAATTATTTCCCCAATAGACCCTTGTTTGCTCTGATAAAGTAAATTCTTCCCTGCCTTTCTGTTTACTCCTGAAGCTATATTGTGATCTATTTGGAATTTCTTTCCTCATTGCAGATGATGCCTTCTAATGTATAAATAGCAAAGATTCTAGAGATCTAGAAGTGAGTTATTTTAGGACTGGCCATTTACCCTCATGGGCTCAGAACCCTTGTGTTAGTTTCTTATTGTCCACTAGGTGGTACTACGAGGGGCCAATATTTGCAAATGATCTTGTCCCTCAACTCCAACTTGTTTTGAGATAACCCAGGAGAGGGTACCTAGATCTCCCTCCCTCTGCAACTATAACCTAGTCTTACAAACTGAGGAAGTTAGAGAATCTGGGATTCAGATAGTACAATTTTTGGTCAATATTGCTGTCTCTTGAAGCAGAAAAGGAATGCATTTTGTTCTCTCTTGGAGGTCAAAGATGTTAAACAGTAGAATCGATGGAAGTTATACTCCAAAATGAGTAATTGGCTGAGTGCAGGTAATGTAATTGGTTGATAGGAGGAGAGAGAGGAAATATTAAAGGATCTCTTGGGAAAGCAACAAGCCATGGAATTTTATTAAGTTCAGCAAACACTTTTTGTTGTTGCTGTTAATCCACAGCGGAGGATATTTTACCTTTGATTTTCAGGGAGAGTGGGGGGAGAGAGGGAAAGATAGAGAGAAACATTGATATGAGAAAGACATCAATTAGTTGCCTCTTGCACACGCCCTGACCTGGGCCAGGGATTGAACCTCTGACCTTTCGAGTTCAAGCCAACACGCTAACCACTGAGCAATCTGGCTAGGGCAAGAACATATATATTCTTTAAAGATTGAAAAATATGAACAGGCTTTCTAGCTCGGGCCCGGGATGCAGCAGCCGCCGAGATGTTGATGCCCAAGAAGAACCGGATCGCCATCTAAGAGCTCCTCATTAAGGAGGGGGTGATGGTGGCCACGAAGTACGTGCACATGCCAAAGCACCCCGAGCTGGCGGACAAGAACGTGCCCAACCTCCACGTCATGAAGGCCATGCAGTCTCTCAAGACCCGGGGCTACGTGAAGGAGCAGTTTGCCTGGAGACACTTCTACTGGTACCTGACCAATGGGCATCCAGTACCTCCGCGATGACCTCCACCTGCCCCCTGAGATCGTGCCCGCCACGCTGCGCCGCAGCCGGCCTGAGACTGGCCGCCCAAGGCCCAAAGGTCTGGAGGGCGAGCGACCTGCAAGACTCACACGAGGGGAAGCCGACAGAGACACCTACAGACGGAGTGCTGTGCCCCCTGGTGCTGACCAGAAAGCTGAGGCCCGGGCTGGATCAGCAACCGAATTCCAGTTTAGAGGCGGATTTGGTCATGGACGTGGTCAGCCACCTCAGTAAAGTTGGACGGATTATTTTGTGTTGAATAAACTTGTGCTCAGAAAAAAAAAAAAAAATGAACAGAACTTCAGAAAACTGTAGGTCAATATCAGAAATCTAATATACATATATGTAATTAGAGGCACAGAAGCAGAGGAAAGAAAGAATGGGGCAGAAAAGACTGAAAAAATAATGACTGAAAAACTTTG